ATGGATTGTGTGTATATGTGTATATACATACATGTGCACATGGGTGTATATGTTTCTTTCTTTCAAGGCCATGGTCAGCCACTGGGGATCTGGCTCACTTAACCACTAGACCAAGGGCCAGCCTGAAACAGTATATATGTGTGTGTGTGTGTGTGTGTGTGTGTGTGTGTGTGTGTATAAGTATATATGAGAGATTTTTGCTAGAGGGCACATGTGCTGGCCAGAGAGACAGAGAGAGAAAACAAGAAATCACCCCCCAGGGGGGATGGCCATACTGCAATCCCTTCTCCTTCAGTCTCCTCTTGGGATTTTGGTCATGCACACACATGTACCCTGTGTGAGTCTTAAGCCACCAGGTCCAGTATTCAAACTGCAGTCAACCATGTGGGAGTCCAGTGACATAACCACTATGCCAGTTGCTGGTTCCTGAAATGGTATATTTTTAAGTACCCCCTTTTTTTTTGTTTTTCAAATTAAGAATTGGCTCCACTGCTTTAGAGACACTGAGGTGTGTGAAAGCTAAAGAAAAATACATTAAGCATGTTATTTGAAAATGTAGCTAATAAATTGTATAAAAATAAGTGAGTCCTATGTTTGACATCTTGGACACAGAATAAAGTGTTGTTTAGGATCAGCAGATGGTATAATGGTTACATCACTGGACCCCACATAATTGACCATGGTTTGAGTCCTGGACCTGGCAACTTAAACTCATGCCAGGCGTGTATACGTGTGTGCCCAAGATCCCGAGAGGACAATGGAGAAGAGACTGAGACATGACCATCCCCCCGAGAGGTGATTTCTCTCTTTCTGTCTCTCTCTCTGTCTCTCTGACAAGCCCATGCTCCCTAGAGCAAAAATCTCTCTTTAAAAAAATTTTTTTAAGAAAGTGTTGTTGGGAACTGGCAGTTAGCGTAATGGCTATGTCACTGGACTCCCACGTAGTCGACCGCGGTTCGTGTCCCGGACCCGGTGGCTTAAAACTCACGCCGGGCGCGTGTGCGTGCGTGCCCAAGATCCCGAGAGGAGAATGGAGGAGAAGGGATTGCGGCGTGACCATTCCCCCGGGGGGTGATTTCTCGCTTTCTGTCTCTATGTCTCTCTCTGTCTGTCTGGCGAGCGCACGCGCCCTACAGTGAAAATCTCTCCAAAAAAAAAAGAAAGTGTTATTTATACTTATAAGAAATAAAGCAACCTAAATCTTCAATTAAAAAAAAATTGCTAATAGGGAGACCAGCAGATGGTGTAATGGTGACATTGCTGGACTCCCACATGGTCAACTGCAGTTTGAATCCCAGACCCACTGGTTTAAAATTCACACTGGGTACATGTGAGTGTGTGCCCAACATCCTAAGAGGAGAATGGAGGAGAAAGGATGGAGGCATGGCCATTCCCCTTAGGGGGTAATTTCTCTCTTTCTGTCTGTGTCTCTCTGTCTCTATGGCAAACACACATGCCCTATAGCAAAAATCTCTCTCTTAAAAAAAAAAAAGAAAGAATTGCTAATAAATAATCCATAATAAAAATGCTGGTGTTTAAATCCATCTGTTGACCCAAAAAGAAGTTCATGATATACTGTGAAGTAAAAAGAAATAGAGATTATAAACTATTAAGTACATTATCTCATTTTTATAAAAACATGTGCAATTTACAGTTACATGCATATACAAATAATGTAATCATATTGCTTCTCTTGCTTCTCTTCCTTTTTTTTTTTTTTTTT